ACTTTATTGCCACATTCACCCAGTCTTCCATTCCAGGCCAGACCCACTGGCTTCATAGGTGTTCTGTGCAGTATCAGGCTTCGGATTGTCACCACTCCCCATGCAGGTTTTTTCTTTTTTTTCTTTTTTTTTTCCTGGGTGGTCTTTCTTGGCACCCTCCTTTTTTTAGGAGAGAGCATCCACCAGCCTCTTCCTGAGAAAGGGGGAGTGGAAGGTAAGTGTATTAGTCTATTCTCACGCTGCCCATAAAGGCATACCCTAGACTCAGTAATTTATTAAAAAAAAAAAAAAAAAAAAGAGGTTTAATTGGCTGGGGAGGCCACAGGAAACTTACAATCATGGCAGAAGGGGAAGCAAACATGTCCTTCACATGGCAGCAACAAGGAGAAGTGCTGAACAAAAGGGGGAAAAGTCCCTTAAAAAAAACCATCATATCTATGAGAATTCACTTAGTATCATTAGAACAGCAGCATGGGGGGTGACCAGCCCCATGATTCAATTCCCTCCCCCCAGGTCTTTCCCCTGACACATAGGGATGACGGGAACTACAATTCAAAATGAGATTTGGGTGGGGACATAGCCAAACCATATCAGAAAGTTTCTGAGCTACTTTATTGGATAATATCCTTGTCAATCCATTCTCCTGGTGAGTACTTTGCAGGGGTACAGCTACACCAGGAAGCATCTCCCTAAGGATTCTGAAGGCATTTTTCTCTACCCACCATGTTGCCATTGAGCCATCTTATGCCATTTGAGTTCCAATATTTTCTTCTGGTTTGTGACCATTTTTGTTTTGTCTCCAAAGGTTTTTAGAATCTTTTCTTTACAACTAGTTTTCTAAAATTGTATTATAACAGATGCGTTGGTTGGGGCTTTTGTATTCTTTGTGTCAACTATTAGGAGGGACTTGCCATCTAGAAAGTCATGGCCTTCCATTTTGGGACTTTTGTATTTTTAAGATAATCTATACCTCCCACTTTCCTCCCACTTTCTTCTTATGAGATATAGGGCTTACTTCAATTACCCAGTAATTTCTCATTTTCCCTGTTATTTTCCATCTTACAAAAGAATCTTTACTATCTGGGAAGCTTTCTTTCAACTTTTTTTTCCCTACCACCATACCTTTTTAACATTTTTTAGCTTTCATACTTCCAATGTCAAGGAGCATGTCTTGGTTCTTCTAAACATCCTTTATTGAGCAAATCACTCTTGCTTCCTGGTTGTGGTGGCCTTGCCTCCCTCGGATGATGTCAGTGACTGAGCTTTGATGTCTTCTTCTGTTCACTGCATTTTCTCTACTTCCTCCTAATTCCTCTTGTATGTTTGCTTGCTTTTGTCTGACCTTCATATTGAACGCTTTCTTCAAATTTCTTGTGAAAACACCTTTTTAAATAAAGAAGCTCATTTGAGTAGAGTTTTCTGTAACTTACAGGCTACTAGTGACCCCTCAGCCCACCCCGCCATGCACACTCCTGAAGTGAAGCCCCCATGGCCATTCATTGCATCTTGCCCCTACAAACATTTTGTGAGAGGCAGAGAAGAAATTCTTGGCGTTGTACAAAGTAGAGACAGAGGCACAGAGAGGGTCACATGATGGGCCCCAATACAGGAGGGCTGCGCGGCACCCGGACCAGAACCCATCCTCTGGGCTGCACCTGTCCCTGGCATCTGCCATCTCCATGTAAGGTCACTGTCCATCCCATGCATCCAGCCTGCAGCCAAGGAAGATGGTAAGAGCCTGGCACCCACTCCCTGTAGGAACCTTGGAAGAGCCTTTAATCCATGAAGTTCCTCAATCTTATACTTGTCCTTCACATGAAGGGATGCTTTGTCTGTCTTCCTCTAAATAAAGGCTTTCTGTGTTTGAGGAATTCGAAAAAGAAACACCCATACTTCATTTCCTGAAGTTGAAACTTGTTTTTTGCGGGTGCAGCACTGCTTCTCTTTTCTGACTCCAGAGCCACCCTTTCTTGGGGAACGCATCCCACATGGAGGACCTCACCCTCCTCTACCATGGGGGAGCACATTGGGCCCCACAGTAATCAATCAGGGGACTGCATTCTCCCTGATTGGTTCAAGGATCAGCATATGACCCATGCACAGCCAATCTGAATCCTCCCTGCAACATACTCCCAGCAGCACTTGGTTTCAGGAAGACTCTTTCCCCCAGCGCTTCCACACTGGCAGACCATGAGCCTTGGGTGGCTGGAACCCTCTGGAGAGAGCCTCATCAGAGAGATGGAGAGAAAGAAGCCTGAAAGGAAGGCTCAAGCCCCTGGATCCAGCCATTCCTGAACATGAGTGTCCCTCCATTCCCCAGTTGCATGAGCAAATACATTCACCATTGTGTCTGAGCCTGTGGGAGCTGGGCTTCAGCCATTCAAAGCCAAAATGCCCCTGAGTCCCTCTGTAGACTCTTCTTCCTGCTCTAAGCGTCCGATTTTGGTTGCCTGGTAAGACCCCACAAGTGAGGAGTCCTGTCTGGGGTCGCCCCGAGAGGAGGAAAGCAGCTGGAAGGAGAACACAGAATTACATTTGTGAGCAACTTGGTGGTTTCAGAAAATCATTTCCAACTCCTGGAGCAAATTCCTCCTCCCCACATCCAGCTCCGGGACTGCAAGCTCCATTTGCACACACCATCGCCGCAGGGAGAGGTGGGTGGGCGGGCTAGCCAAAGCTCGGGCTGAGGGGTGGATGGACTTAATCATTCCCTGCTTTTAATGGTAGCTAGTTAATTTCCTTCCCGAGAAGACCAGCATCGACCTTCACCTCTGGCCCCCATTAACTGCTAGCAGTGCTTTGTCAGCGTATTTATGACAAATTAATTACACAGGGAAGATCTTGCTGGGAAAATGAGTATCTGGTTCAGGCTGGGGGCGGGAGCTGCATTTTGATTACCCATTGACAGGGGGCCTGGTTATCCACAGTTTGGGCAAATGTTGAGGGTGCAACTGATTTGCAGCTCCATGCAGAAGGAAGACACCCCCAGAAAGAGTGAGCCAAACCCAGTTCTCATCCCCTCCTGCCTAGTGACTCATGTTTGCAAACTGGATACTCCATGAGAAAAGACTTCGTGGATTCCAGATCAGCACGGTGGTTGAGCTAACTGAGCACTCCCGTCCACGGGACAAAACCCCCATCCCCCATCGTGAATCCAATGGCTATACCGACCTTGCTGTGTAGATCTGCCCAGTCCTCCCTGTGGGCTGGCTTGTACAGCAGTGTCTGGTCCAAACCCTAAGCAGCTGTGGTCTGGACCCCACCTCCCTCCCCTGCCAGCCTCCCTCCACCCTTCTTTGTGCTAGGTTCTCTGGCAATACCCAAACCGCGGTGGTTCTCTGAATAACTCAGCTGGTTCTGCTCTTCATGGCTTTACCCAGCTGTGCCCCTGCCTAAAGCACCATTCCCACCCTACCCAGCCTCCTCTCTCTGCCTGGTCTTGAAAAATGGGCTCTAGAGAGTTTTCTCCTCCTCCAGGAAGCCCCGGAATGCCTCTATGCTGTGTCTGGGCCCCTGTTGCACACTCCCATGATTCCTTGTGACTGTTCCTGCTCTCAACTCCCTGCCCATGTGTGTCTCCCCACCCGGCTCACTGTGAGCCTCTATCAAAGCCAGAACTTTGTCTCCCACACTCAGTAGCCCAAGGGCCCAGCACAGGGGTTAGCCTGCAGGATGTGGTCAGCGAAGGGCCTTGTCCAGCACACGTTGGACCCTGGAGGTATAAAAGTTGAAATCCTGGGGCCCTGAGCCCACTAAATTCCCCATGTGAAGCTGGGGAATGCAGCGAATTTCTGAGGTTCTAGCCTGTCCAGCATCCCTTTTCTGGTAGCTTTAGAAAACTGCTCATCCATCACCTTTAGACCACGTGACTGGGGGCAGCTGCTTCTCATCCTGGTTCCAGAGATAAGCCATGTGATACCAGTTGGCCAATCACTGCCTTCCATTGCTCTGGCCAATGACTGGTTGGGAATGGGCATACAATCAAAGTCACTGGTTGTGGCTTTTGCTGTCAGGAAAGTCATCCCTCTCCACTGGGTAGCTAAGCTAGTGCTGTGGGGGCCTGGAGCTGCCAGGGGTTGTCTTCAAAAACAGAGGAGCAGGGAGATGGAGTGAGGCTGAGTTCTAAGACATCGCCTGAGCTCCTGGATCCAGATACTCCTGAAGCAGGCTCTATGCCTCGACTTTTCTGTTGGAAGAGCCAGTGCATCCTCTTCTGTGTGGAAGCAGGTCCCACCTTTCTGTCATTTACAACAAAATGAGTCTTGTTGGACATAGACGTAGATGAACAACAAGGCAATGCTGGGGCCAGTGAGGTGTGGGTTTGATGTGGGGAGCAGAGAAGGGCTCAGGAGTGGATAGGAGGCATCCAGCTAGGCTGTGACCTCTGAAATTTCCCTGTAAGATCATGCCTCAGGCTGAGTAGCAGTGAGCTAAGGGAAGCAGATAGGGGAGGTGAGGGGGCAGCTGCATTTCGGAAATAGAAATCCCAGTGGAGCTGGCTTCAGCACTAAGGGGGTGTCTCAGTTCTTCTAATGAGTAAGTGCAGGATAGGTCCTGCTTCAGGAATGACTGGATCCAGGAGCTCAAACAATGTCTTTCAACTCCACTTTACAGGATGAAGTGTAAGTTTTGTAAAGGGAAACCTTTTTTGCTTGGCTCTCATTCTCTCTCTTGCCTGCTGCCATGTAAGATGTGCCTTTTGCCTTCCACCATGACTGTGAGGCCTCCCCAGCCACATCTAGCTGTGAGTCCATTAAATTTCTTTTTCCTTGTAAATTACCCAGTCTCTGGTAGGTCTTTATCAGCAGCGTGAAAATGGACTAATCCACAGGCACTCCCTACTGATTGGCCAGAAGAGGTCACATGACCTGTGGCTCAGCCAGTGACTTCCATCAGGGACCCCGGGGTGGGGCTGGGAAAGAAATTGCTCTTTGGGAGTTCAGCTAAAAAATTCTGAGAGCTCAAAAGTGAGGAGAGGAGATTCTAGAAAGGTCCGGTGATAAGGCGGTCAGGTGGCCATGATGGGCCTTGAGGAAGTCAGACCTTGAGTGAGAAGAGAGTTGGGGCAGTGTCTCAGTTGGCTCAGGCTGCTGTAATAAACACACTGAGTAATTTACAAACAACAATAATTTATTGCTTACAGTTTTGGGGTCTAGGAAGGGCAAGATCAAGGTGCCAGCAGAGTCAGCGTCTGGTGAGGGCTTGGTCTCGGCCTTAATGATGGCTCTTTGTTGCTGCATCCTTACATGGAGGACAGGCAAGCAGGACTAACAGACTTCCTCAAGCCCTTTTGTGAAAGTGTGAATCCTGTTCATCCTCCCGACTCCATCCCCTTTCAATAGCTGTTTTTACCAAGGCCCTGCTTCTCGCCATTGCACTGGGATTGTGGTGGTTGGTTATTGTTTTTGTTTTTGAGATGGAGTCTCACTCTGCAGCCTCTGCTCCAAACTCAAATGATCCTCCCTCCTCAGCCTCCGGAGCAGCTGGGACCACAGATGTGCAACCCCATGCCCAGCGAAGTTTTTGCATTTTTGGGAGAGATGGGGTTTCATCATGTTGCCCAGGCTGGTCTTGAACATCTGAGCTCAAGTAATCTGCCCACCTCAGCATCCTAAAGTGCTGGGATTACAGGTGTGAGCCACTGCACCTGGTTGGAATTATGTTTTGATATGAGTTTTGTTGGGGCTCAAACATTCAAACCACAGCAGGATGGAAGGTAACTCAAGGCAGGTGCCCGGGGCCCAGGAATGAGTGGAGAGAGTGGCCTGGGCCAGGCTAGGGGTCTGAGCCCCACTCGCATCTACTAACCTCCTCTCAGCACACCAGGGGTTCCCCAAGGCAGCTCCCTGCCATCTGCTTCTGGCCTGAACCCATCCCTCTGCCAGGTCCATCCCCCTAAACTGACTCATGCAGGTCATGTACCTGGAAGCAAGCAGGTCAAACAAGATACTTATGGAAAGCAGCAAGCAGCAGGCTAGGTTTGCTAGCCTGCACCCACCTCCAGCCTGTGTCCAAGCCCCATGTGCTCTAAATTCCAGCTCCCCATCAGCTCCCCAAGTGTGAGGCTTTATTTACGCAGTGGCTGCCGTCTGCAGCTTTGTGACGCCTGTTTCCAAGAGTCATAGCTTCCAGCTCGGGGCTGAGGTTCGTGTGACTGATGGGCTGACCAATGTCTCGAGGAAAGTGACTTCTGGATTGTGTGTCTGCGGGATGAGGACCTGGGGAAGAGAAGATGGAGGGTCAGCTTCATAGACATGTGGCCTGGGCGTTTGCACAGGGACCTGCTCCTGGAAGGATCCCGAGCTCAGCTTGAGGCTTCATAGTTACTGTCTTTAGATTTGTACTGAGTCTTGAACAGGGAGCCCCACATTTTCACTTTGCACTGGGTCCCCAGATCCCGTAGCCAGTCCGGTCCTAGCTTCACAGGAGTGAGATGAAGGAGCAGAAATAACACCAGAAATCTGCTACCCCAGACTCTCCCAGTCCTCCCAGGGACCCCAAAAGACAGCTCTACATGCTCTGGCACTGACAGCCTCTGATTAGCAGTTTCCTCAAACAAAACAAGAAAAAACAAAAACATTCCAGACCTTACACATCTCAGGATAAGGTCCCGCCCGCCACTGGAGGAGGAAGTGACAGGCAGAACTTATTTGATTGCACTTTATCTTGCTGTCCTTGCTTTATTACACTTCATAGATACAGCCTTTTTCTATGAGTTGAAGGTTCGTGGCACCCTGGGTGAAGCTAGTCTATCAGTGCTATTTTCTCCAGCAGCATGCGCTCACTTCTTGTCTCTGAATCACATTTTGGTATTCCTCATAATATTTCACACGTTTTCATTTCATTTATTTATTTATTTATTTTTGAGACAGAGTCTCGCCCTGTTGCCAGGTGCCAGGCTGGAGTGCAGTGGTGCAATCTCAGCTCACGGCAACCTCCGCCTCCTGGGTTCAAGCAATTCTCCTGCCTCAGCCTCCTGAGTAGCTGGGATTACAGGCATGCGCCACCACGCCCAGCTAATTTTTGTATTTTTAGTAGAGATGGGGTTTCCCCATGTTGGCCAGGATGGTCTCGATCTCCTGACCTTGTGATCCGCCCGCCTCGGCCTCCCAAAGTGCTGGGATTACAGGCGTGAGCCACGGTGCCTGGCCTTCATTTTATTATATGTGTTATGGTGATCTGTGATCAGCGATCTCTGATGTTGCTACTGTAATTGCTTTGCTTTGGAGTGGCGCAAATATCACCGGTAAGATGGAGAACTTAATCAATCACCTGTCACTGATCAACTGTCTTCTCCTCTCTCTCTCCCTCTCTCTCTCTCTCTCTCTCTCTCTCTCTCTCTCTCTCTCTCTCTCTCTCTCTCTCTCTCTCTCTCTCCCTCCTCAGGCCTCCCTATTCCTTGAGACACAACAATATTGAAATTAGGAAAATTCATAACCCTACAATGGGCAGGCTGTGGTGGCTTATGCCTGTAATCACAGTACTTTGGGAAGCTGAGGCAGATGGATCACCTGAGGTCAGGAGTTCGAGACCAGCCTGACCAACATGGAGAGACCCGTCTCTACTAAAAATACAGAATTAGCCAGGCATGGTGGCACATGCCTGTAATCCGAGCTACTCAGGAGACTGAGGCAAGAGCATCACTTGAACCTGGGAAGAGAGATTGCAGTAAATTGAGATCACACCATCATACTCCAGCCTGGACAACAAGAGTGAAACTCCATTCTCAAAAAACAATCAACCAACCCATCAATCAATCAATCAGTAGCAAGTGAAAGGAAGAGTTGCATGTCTCTCACTTTAAATCAAAAGCTAGAAATGATTCAGCTTAGTGAGGAAGGCATGTCAGAAGCTAAGACAAGTCGAAAGCTAGGTCAAAAGTTAGCCAAATTGTGAATGCAAAGGAAAAGTTCTTGAAGGACGTGAAAAGTGCTACTTCAGAAAACACATGAGTGATGAGAACGTGAACCAGCCTTATTGCTGGTATGCAGAAAGTTTTAGTGGTCTGGATAGAGGCTTGAGCCAGCCATAACAGTCTCTTAAGTCTAAGCCCAGTCTAAGGCAAGGCCCTTGCTCTGTTCAATTCTTAAGGCTGAGAGAGGTGAGGAAGCTGCAGAAGAAAAGTTGGAAGTGATCAGAGGTTGGTTCATGAGGTTTAAGGAAAGAAGGCGCTCCCATAACATTAAAGTGCAAGGTGAGGCAGCAAGTGCTGATGGAGAAGAGGCAGCTAGTTATCCAGAAGCTCTAGCTAAGATCATTGATGAGGATGACTACATGACACAGCAGGTTCTCAGTGTAGGTGAAGCAGCCTTCTATTGAAAAAGGATGCCATCTAGAACTTTCCATAGCACGAGAGAGAGGCAATGTCAATGCCTGACTTCAGAGCTTCAAAGGGGACAGGCTCTCTTGTTGGGGATAATGTATCTGGTGACTTTAAGCTGCAGCCTATCCTCATTTACCATTTTGGAAATTCTAGAGCCCTTAAGAATGATGCTAAATCTACTCTGCCTGTGTTCTGTGAATGAAACGGCAAAGCTAGATGACAGCATATCTATTTATAGCATGGTTTACTGAATATTTTAAGCCTCGCATTGAGACTTACTGCTCAGAAAAAAATATTCCTTTTAACATTTTACTGCTCATTGTCCATACCACAGGAGCTGGGTGTTCAGGATCCTGGGTTGAGGTCCAAAAAAAGTTTTTGTTTTTTACTTCTCATTGACAATGCATCTGTTCATCCAAGGGCTTTGATGGAGACATACAAAAGAACTAATGCTGTTTTCATGCTTGCTAGCACAGTGTCTATTCTGCAGCCTACGGATTAAGGAGTAACTTCAACATTCACTTCTTCCACTTCTTCCTCCTCCTGCTCCTCCTCCTCCTCCTCCTCCCCTCCTCCTCCTCCTCCTCCTCCTCCTCCCCTCCTCCTCCTCCTCCTCCTCCTCCTCCTCCTCCTCCTCCTCCTCCTCCTCCTCCTCCTCCTTCTCCTTCTCCTTCTTCTTCTTCTTCTATAAATGCATTTTATAAGGGTATACATGTGATTCCTCAGATGGATTCTGCGCAGAGTAAGTTGAAAATCTTCTGGAAAAAATCATCAGTCTAAATGCCCTTAAGAACACCTGTAATTCATGGGAGGAGGTCAAAATATCAACATTAACAGGAGTCTGGAAGAAGTTGATTCCAACTTTCATGAATGGCTTTGAGGGGTTCAAGGCTTCAGTGAAGGCAGCAACCGCCATGTGGTGGAAATGGCAAGAAAACTGAAATTAGGAGTCGAATAGGAAGATGGGACTGCATTGCCGCTATCTCATGATAGAACTTGAACAGATGAGTTGCTCCTATGGATGAGCAAAGGAAGTGGTTTCTTGAGGTGAAATCTATTCCTGGTGAAGATACCATGAACATTGTTGAAATGGCAACAAAGGGTTTAGACTTATGTAAACCTAGTTGATACAGCTGCAGCAGGGTTGGAGAGGCTCAGTTCCAATTTTGAAAGAAGTTCCAGTGTGAGTAAAATGCCGTGAAACAGCTTCGTGTGCTACAGAGCAAGCTTTCATGAAAGGAAGCACTTTGGGAGGCCGAGGCGGGTGGATCATGAGGTCAAGACATCGAGACCATCCTGGTCAACATGGTGAAACCCCGTCTCTACTAAAAATACAAAAAATTAGCTGGGCATGGTGGCGCGTGCCTGTAATCCCAGCTACTCAGGAGGCTGAGGCAGGAGAATTGCCTGAACCCAGGAGGCGGAGGTTGCGGTGAGCCGAGATCACGCCATTGCACTCCAGCCTGGGTAACAAGAGCGAAACTCCGTCTCAAAAAAAAAAAGAAAGGAACAGTCAGCTGCTGCAGCAAACTTCATCGTTGCCTTATTCTGAGAAATTGCCACAGCTGCCTCAACCCTCGGCAAACGCCCCCCGATTCGTCAGCTGCCATCAACATCTAGGCAAGACCCTCCACCAGGGAAGACATTAGACTTGCAGAAGGCTCAGATGATGATCAGCATTTTTAGCAATCAAATATTTTAAAATTAAGGTATGTACATCATTTTTTAGATATAATGTGATTGCACACCTAATAGACTACAGCATCATGCGAATATAACTTATATATGCAATAGTAAAAAAAAAATTTGCATGACTTGCTTTATTGGGGTGCTCTGGAATTCACCCATAATATCTCCGAGCTATGCCTGTAGCTGTTTCTTGGGGTTAAAGAGAGGTGGGCAGGTCAGGGCAAGGGACAAAGATGCCATCAGATCCTCTGCTGGAACCTCAGGGAAGAACGTCAGGATGTTGCAGGACAAATGTGGGAGTGTGGCCGTTTTTTAAAAACACAGTGTTCCTTCCTGAAAGAGGACTCTTTGCTGGTCTGGCTTGAGACCCATAGGGCTCTACGGACCTCCTGTGCTGTGGGATCCTAAGCCGATGGGAGACGGCAGGCCTGTTGGGGGATGGCGGGATGGTGGCACACGCCCTCCTGGGGGTCCCCAGTGGCCTTGCAGGTTTATGAGATGCCCTTTGCAGCTGGAGGGGAGTCCATGCTCCCAGGTGCTCATTGTCTTGGTCCTGATAAATGCGCTCCTGGCCCCCGCTCTGCGGGTGTCACATGCATATGGGACTCCCAGGGGTCCTGGAGGGAGAGTCTGAAGACGCGTGAGCCAGGGTCTCCTCAGTGTGCTGGGACAGCAAGGGCATGCCTTGGGATGAGGAGACCCTCTGGACTTCCAGAACATGCATGTCCTGGACCTTCAGGCACTGTGGGTGGATGCTGGCCAGTCCTCCAGATTCAGCTAATCCATGTTTTCCAGCCACTGGTGGGATTGGGTGTGATCCCTTATTCCAAATCCCAAAATGGTAGGAGCTGAAATCCTCCTAATTCTTTCTTTATATGGGAGGCAAAAATCTCATCCTGCGCCTCTCCTGCTCAAGGCCCTCGTGGTTCCCAATTGCCTTACTATCGACTGCAGTCTGGAGCTAGGCCCTGGCTTAGCTCCCCATGCTCAGGTCACCCTCAAACCCATGCGGGTCCCCACACCATCATGTCCTCACCTCCAGGCCATTGTCCACACTGTTCTGCCCACCAGGTACCCCTGTCCTGGCTGTCCTCACCTTGTGCCGGTCCTGTCTGACTTTCCAGCTGCCCCCACCCCAGGCCTTGAGTTGGGATCCCCAGGCTCTGCCACCAGCCTGTGCAGCCCCCAGGAGCAGAACTGTGGCTGGGCTGTGAACTGTACTGATTTGCCCCTCTCCCTTTTTCTGTGAGCAGCGGAGCCCCCTCCCCTAAGTCTCTGCTAGGCTGAGGCTGCCTTGACACGGGCAGCATTTCCCAGCCCCCCGTGGCTAAGTGCAGGCCCTCTGAACAGCACAGATGCGTAGGTGGGCTTGGTCACAGACAGCAGCCGGCTCTCCACCCTCTCGGCCCTCTCCTTGCTGGTGCCAAATTCAACCCCACAGGTGAGGACGGAGCCCCAGGGACAATTCAGCACTGAGGTAAAAGAAACCCTGCTCTGCTCCCCTCACCCGGACATGAGGCCTGGGCTTCGAGCAGGCGGGGGCCACCATGTGAGGCATCTCCACTGTGGCAGGTCAGCCTGTGCCCTGATGCAAAGCCTCATTTGCGTGGCAACCCAGCACCTCTCTGGGGCCCCAAACAATCACGACAGCAATGATGAGACAATAACACTCCTATCTCCAGAATTTGGGCCGGGCTGAGCTCCGCCTTCCTCACAGCCACTTAGGAGTCACTTCAGGCTATTCTTTCCACCCCCCTTTACAGCTACGGAGACAGAGGATCTTGGGTGAAGTGACTTGGGTGGGTCCCTCCACCAAAGGGGCAGAGCCTGGAAGCTCTGACTCCAGAGTCGCTGCTCTTCACCATGGGTGGGCACTGCCTCCTGACTCCAGGAAAGGAGAGATCAGAGAATGGTTGATGAGAATAAATGAATGAATGAATGGAATGTGGGGAGAGAGAGAGAGAGGACACACAGGGGTCCACTCTGCCCCCCAGCTCACCTACATCCTCCCCTGGCTCCCCATCTCCAGACCCTGCAACTCCTCCTGGGTCAGCTGCCCCTGGGATGATAGACATTTTGTTGCTGTTGCCGATGGTGGTGTCCTCGAGAAAGCATGATTTTATGTGGATTCTCTGGGCAGCGTCCTCCTTGGGGTGAGTTCCTGGATTGGGCATTCTTTCTTCAAACGAAGCTTCTGGGCCGGCAGCAGTGGCAGAGACTGTGGGTGAAAGGGAGAGATGTCGGGAGCCTGAAGCATCTGGACAGCGGCCCCAGAGCCCTGACCCCAGCCTGGCTCACTCTCCTCCCCAGACCTCTCACCAGCGGCCCACTCCACCCCACGCACACAGCCTGCGTCTGGCTTCCCCACTGCCACACCTACGCACGCTGTCGGGATCCTGGACGTGTCTCTCCACCAGCTGGTGGGTCTTCCCTGCTGATACCACCCAGCTGATCTGGTTGTCGGTGTCTTCTGGGGTTCAGCTCCTCCCTTCTCTGCTGCCTGCTTCCCACTGCACTGGAACACTGGCCCCCACTTTTGGTTGAAATCTTACGGGGGCTCCCAGCCTGGCCCCAGCCCCTGCCATCTGGCTCTGCTCTTTCCCATCCAGAAAAGTCATCTACACTGCGTCTTGCCTCCTCCCGCTTCCCAGACCCCTTCTGCTCCCCCACTCCCAGAAACCACCCCCACAAGGTTACCATGACCCCTCTCGCTGAACCCTACAGCAGCTTCCCTGGCCTGGCTGCTCTCTGGAGACTCCTCTCCCGGGGCCTCTGCTTTCCTCCTCCCTCTCTGGCTTCTCTGCTGGTTCTTCTCCCCAGCCCATCTCTGCATTCCTAGCGTGGGGGAAGCCTCCGCCTGGGGCCCTCTGGTTACTGCAGCCACCGCACCTAGTAGGGCTCCTGTCTTCCATCCTCCCTAGATGCCATTCCATCCTCCCTAGATGCCATTCCAGTGATGGCAGGGCCATCACTTCTGCCCCTGCCCCAGCTGGCCCAGCCTCTGCTTCTTTGGGGAGGTCATGCCCATTTTACAGATAAGGAAACTGAGGTTTCCTTCCTGCAGTGGGTCATAGGGGATGGGGACCCAGAGTGCTAGCTTTATTTTATTTATTTTTATTTTTTGAGACAGAGTCTCACTCTGTCACCCAGGCTGGGGTGCAGTGGTGTAGACTCGGTTCACTGCAACCTTTGCCTCCTGGGTTCAAGCAATTCTCCTGCCTCAAACTTCTGAGTATCTGGGACTACAGGTGTACATCACCACACCCAGTTAATTTTTTTTTTTTTTTTTTTTTTTTTTTTAGTAGAGACAGGGTTTCACCATATTAGTCAGGCTTGTCTCGAGCTCCTGACCTCAGGTGATCCACCCGCCTTGGCCTCCCAAAGTGCTAGGATTACAGGCGTGAGTCACCATGCCTGGCCTAGAGTGGTAGCTTTAAAACCCCACCTGCTCTACTCTGGTTCAGCCACCTGGTGAAAAGGAATTTCCCATCATGCCTCTCTCCCCACAAGGAACTCCAGTTCCTTCCAGTGGGAACTAAGGGGTAGCAGGGGTGTGTCTGACCTCTAGGTCCCCAGTTACCTGGGGGGCTGCCAGAGGGGCTGTGGGCAGGGCCCTCGGATGGAACGCCGTGAAGCCTCATCTCATTGCTGTGTCCCAGCTGCACTCGTCTGAGCATGGACCGCTCCATGTGGATGTCCTGGACCCCCCAGGCATCAACCAGGGTCCCCTGAATTGAGGAATCACCTGGTGCCATTGGAGGGAGGTGGCAGGGACCCGTGGAACCTGGCAGAGGACAGCGGAACCGCCTCACTGGAGATTACTGCAGGCTTCTTACCTCCCCTCACCACCACACATGGTCCTGGCTTCTGAATTCTTCCTGGGCACCATCAAACTGGGGGCAAAGACTTTAGGCTCTGACTTAGAGAGCAGGAGGACCTGGCAGAACAGCTCATTTTCGGGCTCCCTGGGTTCTCAGGACTTGCGCTGGTGCCTGGCTGTTGCAAGGACTCACAAACCCAAACAGTGAGCTCCTCGCTGGTTCGCAGTCATTCTCCAGCCTTCCGGCCTCAAGGGGATAAAGTCTCCTTTGATGCTGACACCAAGGGCTCAGAGCCTCCCGCAGCATTTCAACTGCCAGGAATCACATTTATTTTTATGGTGATTTTCATGGTTTTAACCTAAAATAATACTATAAAATTGTTTTAAAATAAATTTTTTAAAAGGTGCACTACTCAGCAACATTAATTAAATAATCAGACATTGGTATGGCCAGAAGCGGGAAGGTGGGGCTCAGAGGATTAAGGCTGGGGAAACTATGATCTAGATTCTAGAACAAAGTTCCTCATTTCACAATTGGGGAAACTGAGGCTCACAGTGAGGAAAGGTTCTCCCAAAGTTACAGGGAGTGTCCTGACTTTGGGGCTGATGCTCTCACTCACAGGTGACAAGGCTGGGCTGATAGGTGGCTCTGTCCCCTCTTGCTACAGTGTCCGGCATGGGGTAAGTGTGCAGAGTGCAACATAGAATTTCATCCAAAGAAGGATGCCATGGGTGGTGAGATCCACCTCAGTTTCCAGCCTGTTCAAATGTGGGGGAAAGTATCGTTTCTCAGAACAAATACCATTCTACAATAACCTCCCTGTGGCATTCTTCAGAGGGAGAGAGTAATTGAGTTGTTTCTCATGGAGAAACATCGGACCCCACTGAAAGCATAAGGTCAAGTGCAACACAGAGGGACCCCATCTTAATTTTAAGGTTTTATCAAAAAATAAAAATAAGAAACTGAGGTCGAAGGTATCAAAGTACAGGAAAATCAGAACTTTGATCCAGGCGCCCTCATTCTCAGGGTGGCCATAATGTGGAAGCTCCCCTTTCCCCCTGGAGGGCTGAATACCCCACACTTGGCCTCCACCTGGTGGACCAGGTGGCTCCCCTTGAGGTTGAGGTTCAGGTTCCCTCCCGGGGCTCTCTCGGGTGACTCACTGTCCTCCCTGGAGACTGCCTGCCTTGTCATGGTGTTCCCGTGTCCAATCTGGATGGCTTCCGAGTGTGCAATGGAAATCTGGCCGTTCGGTCCATTCTGGCAGATCACATTGATTGGATTGTGCTGGTAAATAATCGAGGTAGACTCTGCTGTTCCTCCAGAATCTTCTGCAAAACAATATTCAACTCTAAACCTTCGCTCCTCTCTGTGGGTCAAGGGTTGCCAATACTGGTGGGCAGCACCAAGTTCTCTGGGGAGCTTGTGAAAACACCCTGGGGTTCCCGGTCAGTAGGACCGAGTAGGGGCCCAGAGCCGGGTGTTTACCGGACACCACAGGTACCTCAGAGGGAGCCTTCCTTAGAAATCGCCACTGCAAGTCACCCTACCTGTGTCCTTTGCTGCCCCCACAGCTGGCCCTCCATGATTGCTGGCTGGGAGGACTGCAGGGGCCCACACTGCTCTCCCAAGGGGCAGCCACAGCCCGGACCCCTGGGCACCTGCACTGCTGCTCTTCTCACTTGAGCAGTGGCCAAGAGAGAGCAGCCCATGGGACCAGATGGGGTGTGTTTGGTTCCCATGGGATTTTAAGTATTTGAATTTGTCAGTGATTAAAATCTGATGGCTGTCACATGTTATTCCTTCCTCACAGCAGCTCTAGGACACTGAGACCCCCTGGAGCACCTGCCATGAGCAGCAGAGTCCACCCCGACGGGGCCAAGGCAGGCACCTCCGTGGACTTCGTGGGGCCTATCACCACCCTCTGGGGTCTCAGCTTCTGTGCCTTTGTGAGTCTTTCCCCTATACACAAATATTTAACCCTTTCTTTTTGAGGCAGAGTTTCGCTTTTGTTGCCCAGGCTGGAGTGCAGTGGTGTGATCTCAGCTCACTGCAATCTCTGCCTCCCAGGTTCAAGCAGTTCTCCTACCTCAGCCTCCCAAGTAGCTGGGATTACAGGTGTGCACCACCATGCTCAGCTAATTTTTGTATTTTTAGTGGAGACGGGGGTCCACCATGTTGGCCAGGCTGGTCTCAAACTCCTGACCTCAGGTGAGCTGCCCGCCTTGGCCTCCCAAAGTGCTAGAATTACAGGCACGAGCCACCACACCTGGCTCATTTTTAGATATTCGTTATTATAGTATTCATTTCTTCTGATTTTAAATGAAACTGAAATTAAAGATTTTCAAGGACCCCGATAGTGCCATGGGCCCTTGGCCCTGCACTTACTGGGTCTCATGGAGAAGTCCGCCCAGCGGCTCCACTTGGTAGGGGTCTGATCCTAGTCTTGCCTTCTCTTCTGCGAACTTTAAAATCCAGACCTGGGCAAAGTGCTTAAAGAAAACTGTTCTCAAACTCAAACTGACCCCTGCACCCCAGAGCTGAGAACACTGGGAGTGGGCACCTCCATCCCATCCGATGGCCTTCTGCAACTGCAGCCCTTGGGCCACACCTCCAGGAAGCCATCCCTGGTTAATCCCGCCAGCACACCACTTCCTCCTAGAAGCCCTTGCCATGAACTGCCAGTAGGACCTCCAGAAGCTTCCAGGGTGGGAGGGGCCTACCTGGGCGGTAAATCCTCCATGTTTTGGATTGCTCATCCAAGTCCAGAAGGTGCCTGCTTTTCATCCTGTACAAGTCTCGGTTCACATCTTTTGCTGTCCTCATTTTCAGCCCCTGGGCGATGTACAGAGCCCTTTGGGGACCATTGTCTTTGAGAAAACTGTAGATTTCTTTCTCTGGGAGGCAGGATGGCCAGGTGGTTAGGGAGGAGTCCTAGGGTTTGCATCTGCCCCACCACTTCCTAGCTGTGTGACCCGAACCTAGCCCCTCCAGGCCTGGTTTCCTCATCTGTAAAATGGGCATCGTGATAATGGGGTAATAATGATGCACCACAGAGATGCCCTGAGGGTGAGGAATGTGCAGTATGCTGCGCTGTGCCTGGCACCTGGCGGCTGCACGGTGAGGACCAGCTATTTACTGCCTGGAGAAATCACTGCTCGGCCATTCAGATTCTCCCATGAAGATTCTCCTGTGAAGGCTGGACCTTGGCTCTGAACACTGTGTGGGAGCCCCTGGTGGGTGGGGCCGGGCCCCTCAACCCTGGTGAGGTCTTGTACCCTCAAGGAGGGCTTGGGAGTCCTGGGGAGTGGTCTCCCATGTCCCAGGAGCTGAAGGGACATGCAGAGGCTTACCTCGTTGGCTGAACTGAGGCCCAGGGCTCTCTGGAATTGTAGCTATGTCTTGTAGGGGCCTCTTGGCTAGAGAAAGAAAGCTAGGTCAGAGGGGTGGGGGAGAGAAGACAGCACCAGGCCTCCACCCCACAAAGGTGGGCAGCTCCCTAGGGGCGAGCTGCAACCCTGGGAATTACAAACTCAAACTCCAGAGTTAAACACACTTGACTTCAAATCCTGCCTGTGCCCTGGCAGCTGTGCGGCTTCCTGCTGACAAACTTCCCTGGGGCTCAGCCTCCTTTGCCTCCTGGGGTTGTGTGAGGGTTAGGTGAACCCCGAGACAGGGCCCTGCTGATGTTAAATGCATCATAAATGGCAGCTCGTTCTGGCTGTGGGCTTAAAGCTAGAAAAAGGGGCTGGTGGGACCGCGTGTGTTCTGTGATTAGGACCATCGTGTCCTTGCTGTTTCCATTGTGATGATTTTCTGTGATAATTGTTAGTTATCTAACAATTTTTACACACACTTCCTGTGTGCAGGGCTGGGCTGAGCCTGTTGCAGTGATTCCTCTCAGCAACCCCTACCACACAGCCTCTCTGTGAGCTCCCCCAACCAGGAAAAGAAGCCAAGGCATAGAGAGGGAACCCTTGAGCTCCCACGTGGCAGAGCTCGGATTCAAACCCAGGCTCAAAGCTGCTCTTATCCATTGCCAGGATGGTCCCTGCTGTATCAGACCTGCCCCCGGGGTGGCAGTTACCAGGACTGGGAATGGCCAGCTCTGCAGGACCCTCGCCACCAGGACTAGCCCCACCCAAGCGCCAGGTGGCAGGGGCTGTGAGGGAGACTTTCAGCTCCGTTTTCATTCGGTAGAGGACTTGGTTGAGCTCCTTCTTGGGCACTTGGCATTCTTTCACCAGCTGGGAAAGCTTCACTGGAGAGCCAGCCTCCATCAGCACCTTCAGGATCCTCTGTTCAAGGTGGCCTGGGGGAGCAAGTGAGGGACAGAGAGAGAGGAACTGAGTCTCCCGGGTCCCCACAGTTGAGGCCAGGCTGGAGGCTCCAGGAGGCATGTGAGGCCCCTTCTTGGGAGGGGTCCAGGGCAGAGGAAAAGGGCAAAGACCCCAGCAGATTCCCCCAAGAGCTGCGAGGGAGACATGCAAGCTGATTGAAACGTCCTTGGCTGGGCAGCCAGGCAGCCTGGCAGGCAGAGGAGGTGCCACTTTGCCTGTGCCCTCCTCGAGTCGGGGCTCCAGAGGGCAGTGGGGTCCCTCAGCTCTCAGGTGTTTTCAGGGCAGAGGGGAGTAGAGGGAAGAAGGATAGAGCCAGAGGGAGGCAGAGGGACTCCGGAGCACAAAGGCGAGTCTTGCCTGGGACACCTGCCCGGGTGTACAGGATGCTCATCACCACCCTCCCTGGGAATCTCCTCCTCTCGGCTCCCCATCCACTGCGTCACTATTCATCCAAGCCAGAAACCGAGCAGACATCAGAAACAGACCTTTCCCCAAGTGCCCAGTCATGGAGTTCTGGAAATGCCATTGCTGGATTCTCTGGAATCCTCCCACTCCTCTCTTTTCTGCCACCTCCACCCTCTTCCTGGCTACCATCTCCTAGGTGCACTGATAGGCTCCCCGTTGGCCCACCAGCTCCATTTGGGTGCCCTCCAGGTCTAGCACTGCCAACCACCCAGCTTGGCCTGCACCCACCCACAACTTCCCTCCACGTACTGGCCTGTCTGTGCTTCCTTCAGCCCCACTCACCCCAGGACTTTTGCACACACTGTTCCTGCTGTCAGAAACACCCTTCCCTCACACCCCAACCTGTCTGATGTCTACACACCCTCCAGGTCTCCTCAGATGCCACACCTTTGGGGAAGCCAGTCCCTGTGCCCCAGAGTGACTGGAATGCTGCTTGTGTGTGGGTCCCCTGCAGAACATCCCCTAGTGTCCCCTGCTGTGCTTGCATGGCTCACTGTTGTACCTTCAGCATCTAGCAAAGGGCTGGGCACATAGTAGGTGCTCAGGAAATGGCAGTTGAATGCATGAGTGACTGGGTGAATGAATGAGTGAACCAATGAGTGGGGTCAGGAGTGGTGGCTCACACTTGTAATTCTAGCATGTCAGGAGGCTGAGATGGAAGGATCCCTTGAGGCCAGGAGTTCTAGACTAGCCTGGGTAACAGAGTGAGACCCCACCTCTACAAAAAAAAGAAAAAATTCAGGTGGGTATGGTGGCACGCACCTCAGATGCTCAAGAGGCAAAAGTGGGAGGATCGCTTGAGCCTAGGAGTTTGTGGCTGCAGTGAGCTATGAAAGCACTCTGCACTCCAGCCTGGGCAACAGAGCAAGACCCCATCTCTGGAAGAAAAAAAGGGTTGAGTGAGTGAATATCTGTCTCCAGGGACAGATGCTTACCCAACAGACCCTGGGCAGGGCCCAGGAAGCTCCTCCCTGGCCAATTGGCATGTGCTCCTGTTTCCTGGCCTGAGTTTAACGAGCCCCAAGCAGGACCCCAAAAAATTCAAGGAGGAATTCTCCAAATGGCCCCTGCTCCTCCCGGGCAGCTCCCAACAATCAAAACCATTAGCTCACATGGTAATTAAACCATCAAAGCCAGCTGCTCTGCCAGGAGATGAGGCTGGGGCAGACACAAGGTACGGGCAGCACCTGGCAGCCGGCAGCCTGGGAGAGCCACTGTGGGCAGGGCCCCACCTGTTACCAGGAAGCTTCTGCTTCAAGGAACCCAAGGGCAGTGCATGGGAGAGCCCTTCTTGGAAAGACCTGGGTCCCCTTCCCGGACAGTGACTCAGTTCTTTGCCATCTGGGCTTTCTTTCCTGTTCAGAGGGTTTTCCTGCTCCAGGTTTGCCTGGGGCTAGGCTCCTTGGTCACAGCACTCGAAGGGGAAGAATTGGTTTGTGCCTCACCCTGATGGTTACAATGCTGACAGGCTGGCTGCGTGCAGGTGAAGAGCAATGAGAAGACCTGGGAGCTCCCACTCCTGTGCCCATCAAACTCCCCGAGCAGCAGCCAGCAGCCCCCCACCACCCATGCGCCTGACTTCACACCTGGCTTCACCTGGTCTCGTAGAGTTTTGATTCTGGAAGGCTCACCCCAGGGAGCCACCGCCTCCGCTCCAGAAACCCCAGAGGGGATGGGGGTCAGAGCTGTGGATCCAGGACAAGCCTGGGTGCTGGGAGGGCCTCGGCTGCAGAGCCCCAGGCTACTCTGTCTGAAAATGGGGCACTGTAAAATGGAGCTGGTGTAGGTGACAATTCGGTCATAGAAGAAAAGTCAACTGGGGAGGAAAACAAGAAAAGCCAGCGAGGGCTGAGTCTGGAACGTCTGCCTACACGTGAATCCCGCAGAGGAAGAGCCACAGGAACTCAGTAGCCAGCCCGGCTCCTGGGCCATGCCCTGGCAGCAGCCCTCCAGGGCATACCCCGGCTTGGTTTTTTAAAAAAAATTCTGATGGCTGATTTCCTGAGTTTGAGCTCCAGGCTCTGCCAACTACCAGCTATGTGACCTCTCCCGACTCCAGATTCCCCCTTCTGTGAAATGGAGACGACAGTAACTACTTCAAAGATTGTGCTGAGGATTAAAAAGAAACCAAGCCCTCCCCGAAAGCCGCAAAACCACACTTCACCTACCGTCCACAGCGCTTAGAGGACACCCGAGAGAGCAGCAATGGCTGGGGACACTATTGGCTTTCACTTCAACTCTTCCAGGAATAAAATGAGCAAAATGTTAGCTGAGGAAAGAACGCAGCAAGGGGGAACAAAGGCACACGGGTATCTCTTCAGAGCAAACTGCTTTGTTCTCCACTGGGATGGGCATTCTGACACTGGCACCGGCACCTGCCAGCTGTGATACCTTGAGAGTGTCATTTCACCTCTCAGTGCCTCAGTTATCTATGAAATGGGGATGACATTGCACTTGTCCCTGCAGGCCATAGAGAAATGCTTGCAAGGCATGTTTCAAGGTGCCTGGGGCATAGTCAGCTGTCGAAGGAGGATGGCTATGTGGTCCTTGTCTTTCTACTGTTTTTTTTTTTTTTTTTGAGATGGAGTCTCACTCTGTTGCCCAGGCTGGAGTGCACTGGCACCATCTCTGCTCACTGCAACTTTTGCCTCCTGGGTTCAAGCAATTCTCCTGCCTCAGCCTCCCAAGTGGCTGGGATCACAGGCATGTGCCACCACACCCAGCAAAGTTTCATATTTTTAGTAGAGAAGGGGTTTTACCATGTTGGCCAGGCTGGTCTCAAACACCTGAGCTCAAGAGATCCACCTGCCTCGGCATCCCAAAGTGCTGGGAGGACAGGCGGGAGCCACCACATCTGGCTGGTCTACTATTCTTTTTTTTTTTTGAGATGAAGTCTCACTTTGTCACCCAGGCTGGAATGCAGTGGTGTGATCTCAGCTCACTGCAACCTCCACCTCCCAAGTTCAAGCGATTCTCCTGCCTCAGCTTCCTGAGTAGCTGGTACTATAGGTACATGTCACCATTCCTGGCTAATTTCTGTATTTTTAGTAGAGATGGGGTTTCATCATATTGGCCAGGCTGGTCTTGAACTCGTGACCTGAGGTGATCTGCCTGCCTTGACCTCCCAAAGAATAAAGTTGTCCTGTATTTTATTCCTGGAATTGTGCAATGAAAGCCAGTTGCAGGAGCCTCCCGGTCTGGTCTGCTATTTTTTTTTTTTTTTTTTGCTTGGGTAATCCCTTTTAATAGTGAACTTCAGGTCACAACGGTAACTATTAGTTCAACTACACCAAGGTTTCTGAAGACAATGGCTTCTCCACCCAAGCAGGTTGTATATAAATTCCAAATAGAACTGCTTATTCTTTAGGATACTGCTATTGCCATCATGATCTGAGCCAAGCAAAAGAGGAAGAAAGAGAAGTGGAAATCTCACCCCAGGAGCTACTGCTGGTCCGTGGAAGGAAGAAGTACTGTACCTTCTTTGCCTGGATCAGCAGAAGCCTGGGCCATGCTGAGGACAGCTGCAGGGAGCGGGGAGACTTGCCAGGTGGTGCAGGCTCCTGTGCTCTGGCCTTGAGAGAATGGGCTGGGTCGAGGCTGGGGGTCTCATGCGGCTGAGCCTGGTGCTTCGTGCAGCTCTGAACCCACAAGGGAAGCGATGTCTGCTTCCACCAGGTGGGTATCAGCTGTTTACACCCCGGAAATAGACGCCCAGCCAGACCGGCCAGATTGTTTCTGAAGAAAAAGAAAATGAAACTTCTCTGTGTGGCTTTTCAAAGAAACCACATTGAAAGCAGGATGGATGAGCAAGCCCGAGTTGGGGCTCCGACTTGATGTTGACAGGGCGGAGCTATAAACTCAGCAAGACCAGAGCATCCTCTGAAGAGGCCTTTGGGGCAGAGGACTTCCCTCACCTTCCCAGCTCCAGGCGCAGCCCACCTGGACCCCTGCATTTTTATTTTCTGGCTCAGCATCAGAGGATTAAAAAAAAAAAAGAGAGAGCATGTACCACCTGCAGGGGTGATGTCAGGGGGTGGCATCACTCTGACGATGTCAGGAGCTGGGGCTGGACACCCAGGTTCTGTGTTTTGTTTTGGAAACAGGGTTTCTGTCACCCAGGCTGATGTGCAGTGGCACCATCATGGCTCACTGCAGCCTTGACCTCCTGGGCTTCAGTGATCCTCCCACCTCTCAGCCTCCCTAGTAGCTGGGACCACAGGTCTACACCACCATCCCAGCTAATTTTTGTATTTTCTGTAGAGATGGCGTTTCGTCATGTTGCCCAGGCTGATCTCAAACTCCTGGGGTCAAGCGATCCGCCTGCCTTGGTCTCACGCAGTGCTGGGATTCCAGGCATGAGCCCCCATGCCTACCCTGCCTGGTTCCGGTGGTACTTCCTTCTCAGGGACTCACAGGTGCTGACAGAGGTGCCGTCCCCAGCTCTCAATGGTTTTTCTTGTCTCCTCCCGAGTTTATTTCCCTGACCCACACGAGGGGCAGAACATTTAGGTGGGTGAGTGTCCTGAGATTGTCCCTGTGCGTATCCAACTGAGCCTCTTTAATGAACACCTACTACATGCTTTCCAATCTCAAGTGCTCCTCCAACCCATCTACAGGGTAGGGGCCAGTTCTTTCTTATTCTCAGAGGGGAAACTGAGGCCAGAAAGGCAAGATCACTTGTCCAAGGCCACACAGAGTCCATGGCAGAGCATGTCCTGTCCATTACCCAATTGTGTTTCCTGATCTGTAACATCAAAAGTCACACGTGAATCACCCTTAGCACATGACGGTATGGAGTTCCCAGCTTTGCCACAGAACTTGCTTATTAATTCCAGAGTCAGATGCCTGAGGTCAGCATCTGAAAACTGGCAGCTGAGTGGTTCGGCATGCAAGCCTGGGCCAGCGTGCTTGGGTCCAAACCCAGCTGCACCATTTACTGGGTGTGTGACCTTGGACAAGTTATTTAACCTCTCGGTGCCTCAGTTTCCTCATGTGTAAAAGGGCTTAATCAAAGGAGCTAGCTCATGGGGTTGAGGTGAGGACTTAAGGGGCTAACCCAGCCCAGCTGTCGGGCCGGAGCCCCAGCGCCATCTGCGGTCATGGGTATTGTCACCCCACAGGAATGTGTCTGGGAGAAAATGTGTCTTTGAAAAAAGGTTTGACGAAATGCTGAAAAGAATAGACAATATAGAGAGAAATATAAATGAATTAACGGAGTTGAACAATACAACACGAGAACTTAGTGAAATATGCACAAGTTTAAATAGCAGAATGGATCAAGCAGAAGAAAGGATATCAGAGGTCGAAGACCAACTTAACGAAATAAAGCGACAAGACAAGAATAGAGAAAAAAGGATGAAAAGGAATGAGCAAAGTCTCCAAGAAATATGGGACTATGTGAAAAGACCCAATCTACGTTTGATTGGTGTACCTGAATGTGATGGAGAGAATGAATCCAAGCTGGAAAATACTTTTCAGGATATTATCCAGGAAAATTTTCCCAATCTAGCAAAGCAGGACACTATTCAACCCCAGGTAATACAGAGAACACCACAAAGATATTCCTCAAGAAGAGCAACCCCAAGGCACATAATCATTAGATTCACCAAGATCGAAATGAAGGAGAAAATACTAAGGGCAGCCAGCGAGAAAGGCCAGGTTACCCATAAAGGGAAGCCTATTAGACTTACAGCAGATCTCTCAGCGGAAACCCTACAAGCCAGAAGACAGTGGGGGTCAATATTCAACATACTTAAAGAACAGAACTTTCAGCCTAGAATCTCATATCCTGCCAAACTAAGCTTCACAATTGAAGGAAAAATAAAATCTTTTTTGAACAAGCAAGTACTCAGAGATTTTATTACCACCAGGCCTACTTTACAAGAACTTCTGAAAGAAGCATTATACATAGAAAGGAACAACCAGTATGAGCCTTTCTAAAAATATACCAAAAAGTAAAGAGCATCAACATAAAGAAGAATTTACATCAACGAATGGATAAAATAGCCAGTTAACATCAAATGGCAGTAACCCTAAATTTAAATCGGCTAAATCCCCCAATCAAAAGATACAGCCAACACCTAATGGTATATCCAAAGATACACAAAGACTCAAAACAAAGGGTTGGAGAAAAATTTACCAACCAAATGGAGAGCAAAAATAAATAAATAAACAAAAAGCAGGAGTTGCAATTCTCACATTTGATAAAATAGATTTCAAAGCAACAAAGATACAGTGGTAAAAGGATCAATGCAACAATAAGAGATCTTAATACCCAGATACATAAAACCCATAACGAGATTTAGACTCAACAAGACAGAAAATTAATAAGGATATCCAGGACTTCAACTCAGATCTGGAACAAGTAAACTCAATAAATATTTATAGAGTTCTCCATTTTAAATACACAAAATATTGATCGGCCATTATTAATACCCATTTTTAGAATGAAGCAATATTCCTGTTCTCTCTCCCTCTTTTTCTTCCTCTTTCTTCCTCTCCTTCTCTCCTTTTTTTACTTTTCAACATCCTAGTTCCTCACCTCTACTCAATACATTCCTCTGAACACCTGATTCCTTGTGATTCTCCCGTCCCACTGAAACCTCCAATCCATTAAAAAAAGAAAAGGAAAGAAAAAAACAGAAAATGCACTTGGGGCACATGGAGGCACAGTGCAGTGTTGTTGGAAAAAAAAAAAAAAAGAAAAGGAATGTGTCTGGGAGAGCATCCATTCCTCCCATACATTCTCAAAAGGGCCAGTGACCCCAGAAAAATTCAGAGCCACTGTTCTCTTCCAGATCACAGAAGGGGAAACTGAGGCCCACAGAGGTGAATGCTGTGCACAAGGCTTCCCAGCTCATGGCAGCCACAGGGGTTGAGAGCTCCACCCTGAAAATCCCTGGACTTGGGGTCTGTGTCTCATCTGCAGAGGGCTGGGAGGGCTGAAGAGTCCGCGCTCCTTGCAGACCCCATTTATACATAAGGAGTGGCTTAGCAGCAAATACAAATGGAAAGGGGGTCTGGAGGTTTGTCTTGACGCTGTCTGTCTTTGCAGAGTGAGAACCTGGAGCCCAGGTCATCGGCCCCACCTGCATGTTAAGGGTTTGAATAGAAAAAGAATCTCAACGGCCAGACCGTCCCAGACTAATCAACTCCAACCTCTGGGGCTGGGCCCAAGGACACAGTTTTAATGCTCCAGGTGACTTTTTTGGGTTCCAGTGAGGGTTGGGGCAAGTCAGTAGCAAACTGCCGGGATGCTTTCCTTCTCCTTTTATGTAAAAGCGAGAACTGTGTGTGTCACCATATGAAATAACAATACATTTTGTTATTAATAATTCTGCTCTTTAAATGGGGGCAGGTGGGGTGCAGAGGGAGATGACAAAGGTGCCTTCCGGGAGGGGCTCCGGGTGAGCCCTGCGAGGCTGAGCCCCTCGGGTGTCTGGGTGCCATACAAGCACTGGCCACCAGGTGACGCCACTCACCAGCCTGGGCTTGGGCCCACCTTGTTTCGGGTCCCCTCTGATCTGCAGGAGAAGCTCCCACCCCCACCCATGGGTGGAGTCCAGACTGAACGGGTCGCGGCTCCAAGACACGCCCACCCCTCCCACTGCCTTGTCCTGCCTCATCCTCTACTCTTCTGTCTCTTCAGTCACTCACCTTGGTTCCTTCGCTCATCCTTCCTGGAAGGAGTCAGATCCCAGCTGTTTCTCTGAGAAGCCTCCGGGGCAGTCCTTTGTGCCCCCTCCCCTGGCCTGGCCTTTAGTGTTGGTCTTGCCGCAGCCCCGCTCTCCCCCATGGGGAAACTGTCCCTCCCTCTGCCTCCAGGACCCATGCTTGTTTCTCCCTTCCCTCCGTGGCCTCTGCAGCCCCTCTCTCCCCCATGGGGAAACTGTCCCTCCCTCTGCCTCCAGGACCCATGCTTGTTTCTCCCTTCCCTCCCTGGCCTCCGAAGCTCAGGCCTTGACCCTGGCTCGCTGGTGGGCTTGCAGGTCAGGTTGAGGGGCACAGTCTTGGTCCTAGGTGTCAGCCTTGCTTCTAGGAAGATGGCTCCTGCTGCAAAGGTGGAGGCTGGTGCCTCTCATGGCTGCTCTCCATCTGCACTGTGCTTGGGTGACCCTTTCCTGCGCCCGTGGCCCCATCCTGAAGTCACATGGAGCCCCACTGGGCCTCAGCTGTTCTTAGGAGTCTGTAGCAGGGACCAACGTGCCAGCGGAGACCAAGCGCCTGGAGAAGTTCCCTGGGCAAGGATTCTGTCTCGTCTCTTCTCCAGGGCAGGTTCTCCTTCCCAGCTGTGTGGCACTATCTCTCTGAGCCTCAGTTTCTCTAACTATAAAACAGATAATAAGAAAAAGCATTTTTGACTCTTAGTATGTGCTCACAAAATTTGCATAAGTTAGAAAGTGTGATGCGTCTCCGCAGTATCACTGTAGGCACCAGAAAAACAAACAAAAGGGAGAATAGACAAAGAGGAAGACAAGCACGTCTCAGGTGTGTGTGTGGGGGGGGGGTTCCCCCTTTCTCTGCGTTCCATGGCACACTTGGAGATGAAGCCAGGAATCTGCTGTGCTCTTGTCACCCCACTGAGTGGGAGTCTTATTTTAAAGGCTTGGATTACCATTTCTCTTCTCAACTTAAGAGATTTTTAAGTTGAGTTTGACCCGAAGGATTATCTTTAAGCCTCAGTACCACTGGTTTAAACAATAGAGC